AGCTTTAGGGTGGGCATTTTAATTCCCATCTCTCAAACAGGCATCCCACAAGCTGAAATATAGACAAATTCCAGAATGATCCCTCCCAAGCACCATCCTCCACAGAGGAACACACTACTGTTTGGCTGCTGTCCCAAGTGACCAGGCATCTTCTGAAGTGGCCAGGGGCCCTGGAAACCTGGGGTCCCCCACAAGGTAAGGCTTGCTGAGAGGCCACTAGGAAACTGTATATGACATGCCCCTCCCTTCTTCCCTCCCTCCCTCCCTCCCTTCCTTCCTTCCTTCCTTCCTTCCTTCTTTTTAGGAAAGTGGATATAAAATTGGAAGGAGGGGAAGAAGGGACTGCACGCATGGTTCCAGTGTGCAGAGGGTCTTTCCTTACTCCACTGCTTTTCTGAAGATGGCTGAGAGCCCACTAGGCCTGTTCTTGGGACTTTGTGTAGCCCAGGGGTCTGCAGGTGCCCAGGCCACACACAAGCCCTAAGCCCTGACATCCAGTCCTGCACCTTGTGCCCACCTCACACCATCTAGCAGCCGTGGATCTGCGTAGGTGCTCTCTGAGGGCCTTCCAGAGACAGGGTCTTCAGAGGATCCTGCCCTCCCAGCATCATCCTGGGTTTCCAGCAACTGCAGGGAAGCCAGTGTCACACAGCTAGGAAGGGAGAAGTCTCCAAAGACACAGGTGGCTCCCCACCATTCAGAACCTGCATGCAGTGGCAGGCTGAGCTCCCCTTCTGGCACTATCCTAAAAGCTGGTCAAGAGCCTGGGCATGAGGGCCTGGAGTGGTCAGGCCGCCCTTATAGTGTTGCCATCTGGGCTTTGCAAGACATCTGGGACTAGTGGGGGTGAAATCTTGTTGGTGTTCACCAAACTGCGTGCCCTGGCAACAAGGGGCTGCCTCTGTAAGACACCAAGGTACCGTGTGGTGGCACTGGGTATAGTATAACCGCTTTTCTAATTCTGAGTCATGATGAAGATTAGCAAGTGCCCTGGAAGGGTGGGCAAAAGGCTGAGATGGCAAATACGTTTCATCTCGTGGGCCCTTGTTCGTGGTGACCAGGAGTGCAGCGTCCAGGAGGAAGACAAGTCAGGTCCGGGCAGGAGGTCTGTCTGCATTCAGCATGTTGGTCCCTGGTGGGGGAGGGGACAGGCGCTGGCAAGGAGCGTATTTGCCATTTTACCCTCTGCTGTAAGCTGATACCTTCTGTGTCAACACTCAGTCCAAAGGCACCTAATACCCGCCCAGGCACAGAGGACAGGGAATCACAGCCCTGCTGGGGTATGCTTTGCTGTTTCCTCCTGATGCAGGGGGCAAAGGCAGTTCAAGAAGGTGGGGGATTCCTTTGCAGGACACCTCACCATGAGGTGTTTTTCAGAGAAAGAGGCAGCATGGCTTTGCACAGCCCTGTGCAGCCATGACTTCTCTGCTCATCTCTGCCGCACAGGCCCAAATTGAAGGCTGATGCCCTCACACAGATGCCCCGCTTCCTCTTCTCCCTCAAGCTTCTCCTGCCCCCTCACAGCTCAGAGCTCTTGGTTTGAAACTCCACCACATGCCTGTCAAACCTGCTGCCCGGGCAACTTAGAGGCAGACATATCCCTGCTCCCTCTTTCCCATCTCCCTAGATAAACAGCCTACTACTATGATTGAAATGACCGGACCACCCTTCCCTCAGCACCAGCCCGCTGCTCAGATCCTCCTTCAATCCTGTTAGTCCCTGGAGAAGTAAGTAGGCATGTGACACACATTTTTATTTGTTGACTGGGAAGAGACCTGCTCAAGGACACTCGCCCAGGTGTCTTTTCTCCAATCATCTTGCATCCATTGTCTTATTCTGGGGACTATGAGTGGTTGGAGTCACCAAAACAGCAGGCAGGGACTAGAGGTTCACTTGGAAGGCTCTTTCCCACCTTCAGCTGTGAGGTCAACATCTGGGACCAAGGTGAACCTGCAATTTGGGTAGAGAGGTGATCAGGAGTCAAATACAGAAAAGGTCTTGGATGCTATGCCCATTGGGCATTTATTCAAGGGGATGGAAAGACTCTGAGTGGAAAGGAAGGCCACAGGTGACCTAGGAAGCAGTCTCCACAAGCTGGCTTCCCTTCTGTTTTTTTTGGTGTAGATAAGGCTTTCTCAAAATAATGTAGATCTGCCACTCAGCTTTAGGGTGGGCATTTTAATTCCCATCTCTCAAACAGGCATCACACAAGCTGAAATGTAGAAGCCCCCTAGGAGCCTGCCAGATTGGGACCCATGAAGGAAGAACTAGAATGTGATTAGAAGCAGGTGGCTTAGTGGGTGACCCTGGCAAAGTCCCTTTCTTGTTTGGGCCTTTGTGCCTCCTTCCATGTAAAGTGAGGAACTGGGCTAGAACCTCTGACATTTTTTTTCTATGCAAGCTTTCTCGGTTTGTACATGATAGGGTAGGAAGGCACAGAGTCTAGGCTGGCCCAGTCCTCTGGCCTGGTACCTAGTTAATCACACCCATCACCCCCATCCCATAGGACATTTTGTCTCTGGAAGAGCATATGTCCCCAGCAGCCTGCTGAGAGGCTGACCTCAGGTCAACCAGTTGTTGTCTAGGCCAACTGCCTGTAAATTGCTCACATTAATTGATCACCTACTGGGTACAGAGCTCAAGAGTTGAGCAGGTTTGCTGTGGTCAAGAGGAGAAGAGTACCAAACCAAAGAAGCCAATTAGGCTTCAAAGGGGGGCTAAATGGCCTCCCTTCCATCCACCCCTCTCCACCCCTCCATCCAGTCATCAAACCAGCTCATAATTCCCCACCATCCACTATCTGTACGCCAGTGTCTGTGTAGGAACTATGGGAAGAGGGAGGAGAGAAAGAGGCAGGGCCCATCAGCGGGGTCCCCAGGTATGACAAGTACCCTCTGAGGACAGGGAAGGACCAGAAAGGCATCTTGCAGTCTCAAGCTGACAAGATGATGGAAGTATTTTTTTTCTGCCCAGCACTTTGGTTCTTCACCAATCCTATCACTACCTATTTATTGTCCTATACCTGCCTGGTCCCTGAAGGAATTTGGATTTGTAATCCACACTAGGGAAAAATTTCAGCATTTGACATAACAAGGCTACCTTCATCCAGAAGAAAAACAGAGTGGGGGCAGAGTGGGCTCCAGGATGGGGCTGGGTGACTCAGGGACTCCTCTGGGCTTCCAAACTGCTTGCTTGTGCAGTTGGAAAATATCACCTCTTTGAAAAGCAGTTTTCTTTTTATAAAATCTAGGGAAGATCTGCACTGTGGCTCCCTTCCCTCTATCTTTGGGAGCTCAAAGACAGTAGCAGAGTTCCAGAGATGACCCCCAATATTTCTAAGATTAAAATGTCTTTCACATTTATTTCCAATAATCTTGTAACTCCTCTTGAAACGAACAGGCTTAACACTGTGATGTAGATGTCTTTGGTGAATAATACTGAGATATGATTGGTATATGTGTTATCATTTGCCTTAAAAATTGCAAATTGTTTGATAGACAAAACTCAAAAGATGGAGATCTGAGATCAAAGGTGTTCTTGGTTGTTGGGACTGGGTAGCACTTGGTCACCACTGAAAGTCATTCTGGTCCAAGCATCCATAGATGTGCTCAGCTGACCTGCCTAAAAGGTAATGGGGAAAATCCTCCAGGAGCGGAGGAGCTGGTAAGCTCACAAATATCCCCAGCGTTAGCATTAGGACCATCCCATTTTACAGAGGAGAAAACAGGCTCTCTTGCAGTCAGGCGTCACTCTGAGGTCACTCAGCTGGAAGGTGGCCGAGCTGGCACTTAGAGGCTGAGGGGAACGGCTCCAGAGCCCGACTGGAGGTGGGAGAGGTGACTCCGATCCCTGCCAGGAGGGCAGTTCCGCTGCGTGGGCTCAGTGAGGCTGAACCTTGCTGCTAGGTCCCCAGAGCTGGCGCCGGTGCTAACTACCCGGCTCCTGAGAAGGCTAAAGCCTGGGGGCTTCGGGAGGTGTCAGACCAGGGCGGGGCTCCCCCAGGCGAATCTTGGTTCTGGAGAGTAACGGGCCCCACGCTGGAGTCCTGGCGACTGGCCAAGGGACTGGGGGCGGGTTGAGAATAGCGCCGAGGTGGAGGAGAGGGGCGAGAAGCGAGGCGGGCCCACAGTCGAAATAGGAGAAGGGAGAGAGGGAGGAGGGAAGGGGGCGGGGAGTCTTTCCTGGGGCAGGAACCCGGGCCCCCCTTGGCGCAGCCGGCCCGCAAAGCGATTCTGCAGATGGAAGGAATTAAGTGGAAGGGGAGGGTCCTACGGTGATAGCAAGAGAAGGGAAGTAGAAGTGTGTGTGTGAGTATGTGTGTGTGAGAGAAAGAGGGGTGAGGGACAGAGAAGAAATGATCAAACTGGACATAAGTAGAAGAGACGGGAGAGGGAGAGAAGGAGACCGACGGACAGGGACAGAATAACCGAAAAACAGATCAACAGCGAGAAGAGAGACACTGGAGAGAGAGAAAGAAGGAAAAGCAAGTGAAAATGAAGTATTTGGAGAGGACTCGAAAAGAAATGGAAGAGAGCGGACAGTAGGGATTAGGCGGGGCAGTACCGAGCGCCAGTGGTGGCCGGGCTGGGGGCGGAGGGCGTGCGAGGGGGCCGTCCAGGGGCGGGGCCTACGCTGAGCTACATGTGTAGTTGAGCCTCCTTTCCCCATTCTCCCCACCCTGCTATCCCATATTCAATGAGACAGCCAATGGAGGACGAGGACGGGGCGGAGTCTCTATGGACCCCACCCTGGGAGCGGCCGCCGGAGGGGTCAGCACTGAGGCAGATAGCGGATCGCGGGCGGGGCGGGGAGGGGCGGGCGGCGAGAGGGGGCGGGCCCAAAAGTTTCCTGCCCAACTTTCGCTGCCTCCTTCCTCCGCCCGCTCGCGCCCCGGCTGCAGTCGGGGGGAGGCGGTGGCGGCGGCGGCTGCGGGCAGCGCTCGGGGCGCAGGGCATAGGACGCGAGGCTATCGCCGTCGGGGCTTGGGCGGCTGGCAGTGGGCACAGGCTCCCCGGTGCCCGCCCCTCCGCTGGGAGGGGGGCGCGAGCGGGCGGCCGGGGAGGGGCCGGCACAGCCGCGGCAAAATGAGCCTGCTGTCGGCCATCGACACGAGTGCCGCCTCGGTGTACCAGCCGGCCCAGCTGCTCAACTGGGTCTACCTGTCGCTGCAGGACACGCACCAGGCTAGTGCCTTCGATGCCTTCAGGCCAGAACCGCCCGCCGGCGCCGCGCCCCCGGAGCTGGCCTTCGGCAAGGGCCGCCCGGAGCAGCTGGGCTCGCCCCTGCACTCCAGCTATCTCAACAGCTTCTTCCAGCTGCAGCGCGGAGAGGTGGGTGCCCCCGCGCGCTCCCGCGCTCCCGCCCTCCGCCCCACTGCGCCAGACGGTTTCCTATCTGCCCGGCTCTTCCTGGCCTGGCCCCGGCCGGCTCCTCATTGCCCGACCGGGTTTGGCTCGACTTCGTTCAGCTTTGCCAAACTTGCCGCCCGAAGTCCCTGGGGCGCCGGGAGCGCGTCACCTCCCGTCAGAGTATGGCTGGGAGCAGCTCAGGCCCGGGCAGGGCCCTCCCGCCCCCTCTCCCAGCCTGGGAGCCCTGCTCGAAGCAGGCTGAGGCGGGGCAGGGGGGTGTCTCCGGATTCTTTCCAGACAGCCGGGGTGCGGCCAGGGCGGGGAGCCCCTTCCAAGTGACTTTACCTCGCCCAATCCTATACCCCTCCGATCGCGGACTGAGACCGAGTGCAGATTCTGCTCCGAACTCCTCTTGGAAAGGCCTAAAATCTTTTCTCCTCGACCTCCCGAGGTTGCCGACCCGAGGGGCGCCCTGGAGAACAGTGACTCGCCCAGAGGGTTTTTCCTGCTGTTCCCACACAGGGACCCTCCAGATCCATCCTTCAGCTGCTTGGCCCTCCCCCAGCCACATAGGAAGTGGTTTTTGAGGGCTTGACCCCGCAGACTGCGCAGTCCTCTGCCCTCCCAGCCTGGAAGGAAATGAAAGGGAAATCCTTAGAGGGAGTGGGGGAGGACTAGATAGGGGGAGCAGTTCCAGCTGCCCAGCGCCTTCTCCAGAAACCTGGGCCGCCTATGTCGCAAAGTCTGCCTGTTTGGTGGATTCAGTTACAAAATCTACCGGGCAGTGCCTCTTCCCCAGCTAGATAAACACACAGATAGCCATGACCTCTTAAAACCTTTTGAGGGGTCTTCTCCAGAGCCTCCCCAGATTCCACTCCTCTCTCCTGCAGGACTTCTCATGCACTCCCCACTTACTCCAGCCTTATTTGAGAATTGCAGACAACCATCACTGGCTTTCAGTTGCCCATCTTGTGGTGGCTGTCTGCAAAGAAAGGTGCAGAGGTGTTTGGGGGCCATACATGAGGGTCACTTTCACTTTCCTTCTAGACCTGGAGAGTCAGAGTTCTGAGAAGGTTGGGGAAGAGGGCCTGTTTATGCCAGGGAGTGCCAGGGTATATGGAGGAGGCAGAGGGTCACCCTTTCTGGTCTCATAGATATGTTTGGCCATTATTTACCAGGGAATTCATGGACACATAAAATCCTGGCCTAAGGCCAGCACCTTCTGAATTGCTCTGTGGACCTGTGTGACTAGAACTGGTGTGGGGAGACTGAGCATGGTAGAGAGAGAGATGAGTCTGGAAAAGCACCCTTTGGTACCAAGCATTTGTATCCAGAGAGTAAAACACTCTCTCTGGGGGAGGAATGGCTCTTGGCTGGGGATCTTTCTTGTAAGAGACTTTGCTGCCTCTCAGGGAACTGGCTTCAGGTACCAGTGACTTCGGAAAACTGTGGAGTGGTTCCTCAGTGCCTGGATGTTTCCCGTTGTTGATTCTCTTACCAAACATTTTTTCAGCTCTGTGTGGGTCCATGGGGCTTTGTGGGCACAGGCTAGTGGAGGCCACAGATCAGTAGGCAGATGAGACAGTGTGTGTGAATAGTGAGGAATTGGGTGGGGAGCCATGGTAGCAGGTGATTGAGTGGCGGTGCCATGATGGCAGGGGTTGAGTAGTGGTGATGAGTATGTGCCCCAAGAGTGTCTTATCCAGGGAGAAGATTGTCATTACCTGTGGGTCAAGCAGGGTCCCTTCTCAGTCCCTACTATCCTCCCTCTATTCCCACTGTATGATGGCCTTGTTCTCCACATGTGGGTCTCTGCTAAGTGGTCCTGGGAGTTTGGGGCCCTTAGGAGTCCCGTGTGGGAGTGGGATGTTGTGCCTCTTATTGGAAATTTCTGGCCTCCAGGATCCCAGTGGTAGCTCAGTGAGAGCTGTCTGCTGTTGTTTCCGTGACTCAGTTTCCCCATGAAGAGGCCCAGCAATGCAGAAGAGCAGATAAAGGGCCAATGGTGGAACATTCTTTCACGGCTGTCTTCAGGGAGCTTCCTGACCCTCTCTGGGTCTCAGATTGCCCGTCTGTTAAAGTTAGTCTCTTCTGTCTCCCAGGGTAGTGTGTCTGAGTCTGGAAACCTGTACAAATGAGGGAGAATGTGCCTGCAGGGGGGCTGGGCTGGGGAGCCTAGAAGGGCTTCTCTTATGCTCACAGGCCAGTGGCTTCCTTGGATGGGATAGAAGGCTGTGCCTGCAGATCCGGAAGGCTCTCTTGGCTTCAGGCTCCCTTGTCCTCACCCCCCCCACTGCGCCTCTTAAACCCTCTCAGAGCCCCAGCTGTGCTTTGGGGACAGGCCTTTCCTGCATACAGGGCTTAGCTGGTGACCTAATATGGCTTCGAAATAGCAACTGGCTGAGAAGGCAAGAAGAAATACCCCCCACCTCAATGCCACCATGGGGCTAGTCAGAGAAGCATCAAGTCCTGTGTGGGCTGGAGGGAACTCTATGAAGGGACCTAGGGGCCCAGAAACGTTGCCATTCTGTGCAAGGCCTGGCAGGCCTGGTGGCAGTGCCTGCGGATGTGACTTGCATGCTGACCGCTGACCACAGCCTGTCTGCGCCAGCCCCTGTGCCAAGAGCCCACCCCCTCCTGCACCACCCCCAGGCTGCTCCCACCACAATAGCAAAACACCATGAATGCAGCTGGCATGGGGGGTGAGGACATGGGGGCACAGAAGCCCATTGTACCCCTGGAACCTCAGCCATGGAAGCTGAAGATAAGCCAAGGGTTCTGAGTGGCACTCTGGCCCTGGGAACAGAAAGGGAGACTGCAGAGTTCACATGTAAGTGTAGGGGCAAGTACCAGCAGGTGACCTAAGGCAGAACATGCACCTCATACAATTTCTCAAAAGACCTCTGGGTCCACACACCAGACCCCATGAATCCTCCGTTTCAGAAACCTGATCTGTGGCAACAAGTATGTCTTTGGAGAGTGACTTGGGCCTTGGCTAAGCCCCTCCTTTCTCTCCAGGTGCCTTGGAAGGCAGTTCTTAGGAGTGGGGGTTGGGCTGCATGGGGGTCCTCCCTGCCAAGTTCTGTTTGGAATTTAAATTCACAGCAGTGTAGGGACTGTGGGATTCTAGTTCTGCAAAAAGTAGAGTTAAGCATTACTTTTGAGTCCCTTGGAGTCGTACCCAGGTCCTGTCCTGGCTAATTCTTGTACCCCTACCACCACCACCATCACCAGGAACAATATGGCTGTCCCTCTCCGTTCAGTTTGGATTATCAGGGCAGCCTTTTTCTTTCCCTTTTCCTCCAGGGACAGAAGTAGCTGGGAAGCATAACCCTACTGTCAAGCGATCTGTACTTTGTGGGTGATGGGGGAAGGGATTTGGGATCAAATTTGTTTGAAAAACACCATGCTGTCTTTTCTTGGATTCATACAATGCCTGCTGGCGCTGTCCTGAAAAATCCTACAGAATAAAACACAGTAACCATTCTTCAGCCCAGCATTTTCCATACCTATTTAACCAGAGAACATCTTTGGCACAAGACACCTGCCAGTGTTCTTCTAGCATCTCTAGACGCTCCAAGGAGCCAGATAGCTCCTTCCTCATTGCATAGATCCAAACTAGGAAGCTCTTCCTGGAGCATAAGTTTGGGAGCCCTCCCAGGTTCTAGCGTCATCTTCTTCAGCGTCATAGGTCCCTTCCTCTTTGCCTCTGTGGTCCCTCTGTTGGAAATTTGGGAATGGCAGCAAGGGAGTCATGAGGCACCCCAGGACCTTTAACGGTTCTGCAGACGCAGCTGAGAGCCCTTAGAGGAGCAACTATACTGACCTGCTTTAGAAGGTCCTACCTTTGACACTTTCCCCGAGAGTTTAAATGTGTCACCAGTGCCTGCAATGGATGGAGATGAGCCAAAGGGCCACCAGTGTGGATATGTGAAATGAAGCCACACTTCTGCCTAAAGTGGAAGTTGGCCTGGCAGGGGCTGAGTGGTCTCCAGGGACTAAGATTCGTTCTCAGTAGCCTTTGTGGTCTCTATGGGATAGGTGGGAAGGGAGTCCAGGGCTGGGGAGGAATGGCCATCGTAGCCCAGCCAGGAGCTGGGAAGCTGATCAGTGACTCAGTCAAGGAGGCCCGCACTTGGGAGTCTGTTGGCCAAAGCAGTCTGACCCTCCTTCCACCAGATTCATTTGACTGGGCGAGCACAGGCTAAGAAGGGGGCCACCCCTCATGAGTCTTCTGAGTCAGGTGGGAGGGAGGAAAGCAGGCAGCATTAGTAATTTGTAATCAGCCAGGTGCTGTCGGTGGTCTGTACTCCGGTGGCACTTTAATCTGGGCATCTCTTGCCTCATAACTCCCATTTGATAGAAGGCAAAATTGAGGCCTGGCAAATCACCCAGCAAGCCAATGGCAGAGCCAGACCCAAACCTCTTCTGGGTTCCATTCAGGACTTGTGTCTGTGGCTCAGCCTGTAGCCGGTCCCCCGGTTGGCTCTCATCCAGATCATTCTCTACCCCTTCCCCTGCAGGGCAGGCAGTAACCAGGGTCTCTTGTCAAGCTGTGGTGCCTTTGACATTTTGTCCTGAATCCTTGAGGTTTGAGGAGTGGTGGGCATAATTGTGAGTGCTGGGTTTCTTCCCATGTCCTTTTTCCTGGCTTAGGAAAAGCAGAGGAGATGGACACAGGGAACCTCTAGTGCTTTTGTGCCTGTACCGCAGCCTGTGCATGGCAGGCTTAAGGTCCAGATGGGGAAACTAAGGCACAAAACTAACAGAAATGATGCATCCAGAAAGTCAGCAGCAGACCCAGGGCTCCAGCCTAGGACCAGGACACCTGCTGTGCCCTGTGTGTGTAGATGAAGCACACTCAGTCCTCCTCTGGCCAGCCTGGTCATCCCCAACCCTTGTCCAGTGGACAGATCCAATATACTTCTTCTTTTTAAAATATTTTTTTTAGTTGTCAATGGACATTTATTTTATTTATTTAT